TTATTTAATTCTCACAAGGAAGTACGGTAGTGAGAGTTTTGTTATCATTAAAAATAATGTACAGGGGCTGGGGAGATGGCTCGGTGGAATAAGTGCTTCCCTGGCAGGTGAAAGGGCCTGAGTTCAATCCCGGGTTCCGCCAAAAAAAATAAATAATAATAATAATAATAATGTACAAAGAATGTTGAGTAAACAATAATAAATAAGGAAAACCCTAATATATTAAAAGAAGAAAATGTATCAAAATTAGTCAACTAAATAAGAAGGGCCAAAAGTATGTTATACAAATGTGCCTTTCTTTCTTAATGAGAAAAGCATTAAGGAAATATAAAAATAGGTTGAAAACTCCTGAGAAAAAAATTACAAGTTTAAAAATATTTTGTGGGCTGGCAAGATAGCTCAGCAGTCTAAAGCACCTACTTAAGTAAACTTAGGCAGGCACAGGGAACTGCGGTTCAATTCCTGGCACCACATGCCACACCAGCCCCACCCTCAAGATGGGCAAAGCAAGCAAAAAAAAAAAAAAAAAAAAAAAAAAAAAAAAAAAAAAAAAGTAGATAGAGAGAGATAGAGAGATAGAGAGATATCTCCAAACAAACTGGTAGACTGGATTCTTTCTACTCAATTTTGACCAAAGTACCACTACAATCAAAGTAGGCAGTGAGATGACAGTTACCTTACTCTCTGTCAAATTTACAGTTTCTGAAAATGAATTTCATAACTCTTGTACACTCATACACGAGGCAAGATGAGACTACAAAGCAGAGTAGAGTCAAAGGTATGTATGGAATAGATTAGAGGAAAGGGTTGTTTTCCTATCAAGGAAAATAAATTTGTCTTCAAGAATGCCTCTGGACCTTCCTAGTAAGGAACTATAACCTGATATAGTAGGTAAACAAATTAAATGTCTAATTTAGGACTTTGTTTTTGGTGACAGTTCACTGAGCTTGAGCCAATCTTAGCAGCTAAGCTTCGGCTAGTGATAGGCTGCCATCTGATCAGACCATACCCAAATAAGGCAGAGAGTTATTACCAATCAGGCTCTGTTTCTGTCCTTCACCCCCACTCCATGTAGGGATTAAATCTGGGGCTTCATTAGGCAGGTGCTGTACCACTAAGCTGCATCCCCAGTGTGGTACTTCACTTCTGTGTTCTGTCCATAAAGGACTGGAGTTCTCTGAGTTTCTGCTTCTGAAGGCTGATCATTTTGCAGATCATTCTTTGCTCACTTAAACGCTATTAAATTTAACTAAAGTTTTTCTTTTAACTGCATAGACTGAGATATCTAAATAATATCTTTGTTGGCACTGATATTTTGACTTCTGATTTGAGGCTGCTTGCAAAGTAGATGACCCGATTAATAAACCTTACCAAAAAAGAAAAGAAAAAGAATATGATTATGTTTGTCAAGGTCTGTCCCCGCTATGGTTTACAGGAGAAGGTTCACATTTGTCCACAATCTGAGGATTATGTTACATTTACAAAGCTGGTAAGATGCTTCTGAACAATGGAACATAGATCAAGGCTGCAATTTTGTTATATGTATTACAGTGTTTTAGGACCACTGGTGGTCTCTTCTCTGAGGTGAAAATAATATATCAATAGGAGCCAAGTGAAAGAGACTAAACTGGTCTCCAGGTAGCCAGATCATATACAGAATCCACAGAAAGCACACCTTCTGTGATACATTAATAATTCAGATGCCCATTTTCCTCAACAACTCCCTCTTAGGTTCTTTCTCTGCTTTTCTTTCTAATTTTTCTCATTTTCTTTTTCTAAATATAGTCCTTGCTGACAGACTGCACTTTGATAATCACTGCACAACACAAATTAAGGACTTTGTTTACAAGAGTCTTGCTAGTCTTTCTTTCTTTCTTTCTTTCTTTCTTTCTTTCTTTCTTTCTTTCTTTCTTTCTTTCTTTCTTTCTTTTTCTTTCTTTCTTTCTTTCTTTTTTTCCCCCCTTAATACTGTTTGGCTTTTAAAATCAAGTGCATATGGCAATGTGGTTTTTTGTTTTTTGGGTTTTTTTTGGCTGCCTTTCTCTTTGCCATATGGTATTTATGTCTTTTAAATTTTTTATTTGTTGGTTGTCGATCTAGGGCTTTTCACTGATGAGATTTATCAGAATGCACCTACAAATCAGCCATGGAGAGACTGTCTGAATACAAACTGTTATTAGGAAAATGATCATGACAAGAAAACAATAACAAGAACAGCTTTAGGGAAAAGCCAGTCCATTAGTTCTTTTTAGAAGGGTTTCTTGCACCCAGAAATAATTTATCAAAGGCTGTCACTCTGGGTGAAATTAGATTTCTCTTTTAGTTTCAATAATAGGCTGTTCCTTGCTCAGAAACATTTGATAAAAAATAAAATAAAATAATTTTTACTCATAGAAAGATGAGTTTGTCATTGTATTCCCAGGGAAAGGGCAAAAAGTATAATTCAGACATACATCTGTCTGCAAAAGGCAGTTGTCTCTCCAACATACACACACCACACCACCACACATGGAGGCTGCCATAGCACATGCAAAGTATTAAGCATTTTTTGTATGATAGTCTTCGCCTAAGTTACAGCCATATTCTACTTTCTCTCTTCCAGTATATGTACCAGTAAGATTTCAGACTACATGCTGAAGCAAGTTAGTAAGGAAAACCATGCCTGAGGAAATTATTCACTGATTTCTTCACTGCTTTCTTTTTGTCTGTCTCCTTCACTTGCATTGTATAGAGTCCCACTAAAATGCTATACACTTATTTACTTACTTAGAAGACATCAAAACTCTTTTAGCATGTCTTGCAACTGCTTAGCCTACCTGGGAGTTCATTTCACTAGGGGATTAAAAGGATATCCTGACAATGAGAAGGTAGCACCACCTGTGGCCACAGCCACTTCGGAGGTTGAAGCAGGAGGGTTGCTTGAGGCCAAGAGTTTTCTGCCAACCTGGCAATATAGCAAGATCATGGCTCAAACAAAGTAACAACAGCAAAGATGGCAGCCTGGTGTGAGTCTTTGCACAAAGCTCCAAAACTACCGGTTCCTAGTGTGTTGGCCCTAGCTGGCACAGAAGTCACGTGCACACCTGCCAGTAAGTGAGGCCCTCTGTGTCCTCCAGGCAACCTTCCCAAGTGGAAGTCTTCCCAAGCCACTGTCTTTTCAAATTCACTGGGACTAAGTCTGGCCTCCCTTTAAACTGAGTCCATTCCTAATTTCCGCTAGAGGCAAAGTTCCATATACAGAGTTGAAAGAAGTCAAGGTGGGTTTAAATCCAAATCCTGCACTTTATATTTGCTTAGGATTTATTCTTATGGGGGTTCAGTTTTCTTCTTTGTAAAATGCCCAAAAATATTCCTAGAATGTGCTGGATGCCCAGGTAGAGGGACCCCTGCAGACTTGGCTACTCAGAATCTGAGGTGGGAGGATCCCTTGAGGCCAGGAGGTCTGGGCCAGCTCTTAACACAAAGAGATCACATAACAAACAAACAAACAGACACAGTGGCTCATGCCTGTAATATCAGTATTCTTGGGCACTGAGGCAAGAGGACTCCAAGTTTGAGCCTATCCTGTGCAATTTAGTGACTTAGGAAGACAGTTTCAAAATTTAAAAAATAAAGGGAAGAGTGGATTGGGATAAGGTGGGGTGGCTGGGGTGAAGGAGGAGAAAGATTCTTATAGGCATTAAAAAAATTACACTGCTGAGCATCAACCCTGGATCAAGGGACAAACACAGGTGCTAAGTAACCATGGATTTTGCTTCTCTTTCTTTCTCCTCTCTGTCAGTGAGCATAGTAACCATGGTGGACACAATGTTACCAGTTTTCCTCCCTCAATCTCCCTTTACCATAAAGACAATTATCAAATTATAAAAATCAAAACTAGCCAAGATCTTAGTTACACTCTTCTGATTTATTGCTACAGTAGGGTCATAAGTCCCCAGTTGCTCTCACTGTTTTTACACTTCAGTCATTTCTGAAACAATCACTATTTCATAATGGAATTGGTGGCATATACTTGACAACTATACTGAACAAAGAGAATTAACAACGATTCAGCGATCAGACAGAAACACAGCTTTGGGCTTCTAAGTTAATCTCTGTTACGTAAACCATCGTCCTATGGTTATTTTTTGTTAAAGGCTCTTGATGGTTTTCTCTGTCTCTGGGGTATGCCTCTGCATGCATCCCTTCTCCCTTTGCCTTTCTTTAGCAGGAGGAGAGACATCTGTTTCAGAAATAATGAGAAAAGAAAATGGTCACAGAAGCCAAACAAATGAAAAAACAAGACAATTCCAAACAAATCAATATCAATTTTTAAAAGACTAAAAATGACTAGTTAATAAGTTACATTCCCTCTGGAACTATGTACTCCATGTATTATGTGCTTTAGGGTAAGTTCATTTTTCATTTTTCTAAGTAGTTTATGGTCGACTATCATAATATGATCAGTCTACTAAGCAAAAGAAGAATTAGACATGTGTATTTGTGTGTTCTATAAAGAAAATGGTCACAGAAGCCAAACGAAAAAATATAAAGCACAAATATTCCTCATTTCATGTCCCATGCTGAATATCTATGCATGATCCGAATTTTCTGTTTAATATCTTTACTCTTTTCCTATATTTCACATACAAGATGAAAATAAGTTATCCATACTTAAATATTTTATACATGATGACAAGAAGAATATAAATCATGTGCTGTGTTACAGTACCAATAACTACCTTTATAAAAGACTTCATTTCTTTCATTTCCCCAGATACATGAATATATTTATCATCCAGTGTTCTCCTAGTAATAAAACTAAGCCAGAAAAGAATAAAGGACGTTATATCTAACGATGATCTCTTGTACTGAAATACACTTATTTGTCAGAGCAGTGTGGCAGGATGCTGCCCTCAGACTTTCACGTTTTGCACCAAGACCAGTCACTGACTCAATTCAGCACGAGACAAACAGATGAGCGAAAGGCCGCGGCACAGCCCAGGGACCTCAGGAATTACCTCTGAAAGGCAAAGCCATGCTGCTCACATAGAAGGATGATGGCGACAAGGACTGCGAGGCAGAAAGGCTTCATCCCAACAGAGACTTGCTGCCCCACAAAATTCTCTGAAGAGAAAGGCCTGGATAGTTGATTGCATAAGAGGCTTCTTTACATACTGGTTAAAATATAACGGTGTGTTCCATCTCCTTGCTGTGACTCAATCAAATCAGCTTCCATCTCCACCCCCAAAAGAGAACACACACTTGATGACCGAGCCTCCTGAAAGAGAGAGTGGAGGCATCCCTGTTGGTAGTGCAGGCTACCCAGGGGCATTTAAGCTGTCATAGATGGTAAGGCTGAGAATAAAGCTATGGTAAATAAGATACTGTGTGGTTCTTTGAAGAATCCCAGCCAGGGAAGAGTGCCTGATGGCTCATAGCTCATGTTGAGGCAGAGCTTGAGTGCTTGCTGCTGTCTTTTCCCACATTTTTAACTTAGAGGAAGACCATAAAGGGGCATTCCTTATTTGTGTGGCTCCTTATGTGTGTGGCTAAGGCAAGGCTGAGAAGCAGAGGCTATGTGGAAGGTTATAAAACCTCCACTCATGTTTTTCCTTGACCTTATAGAAGGATAATGAACAGACCTACTACAGAAAAGAATACTGTGTCATACAGGGTAGTTCAAGCAGTAAGAACATTAGCTGAAAAGCACATTAGGGCCGGCAAGACAGCTCAGTGAACTAAAGCACCTGCTTAGCTCAGGGACCATGGTTCAAGCTCCAGCAGCACATGCTGCACCAGCCCCTCCTCTAGGGTGGGCTGAGCTGGCCACAGAGTCTGAGTATAGTGGCATGTGCCTGTAATCCCAGCAGTGGGGAGGCTGAAATCAGGAGGATTACCACAAGTTTGAGCTGATAGGTTATGGCCCTAGTAAAAATTGCTGAATTATTATGGTGGTCATCTAATATGGCTGAAGCCCTTAAAACAACAGCTCATCTTCCCAGAGACCACCTCCCTGCTTCTTCTCCAACTCAGCCCAGGATGCAGTTTCCTTTCACCTTTCTCTCCACCTCAGGGAAGACTCCAGTCAGCTCCTCAGGTATATCTAAACTTCCCCCTCAAGCCCCACCCCTGGCAAAGGCCATAAAAGCCTCAGCCTCCTTTTGTTCTGATCCAGAGAATTCCTTGTCTTCCCAAATTCTCTCCGTGTCCTCTAAGATAATGAAGTCCTTTTTCCTTTATAATAAAGCCCCTTTCCTCTTTCCTTCTGCTTGTTTCTCTGCTGCGACACCATTAAAACCTATCATGAGCTGCATAGTGAGACCCAGCAACAACCAAATACATTTTTTAAAAAGCACATTAATTTAGGGAAGGTCACCATAATAGCCATCATCTAAGTCAAAGCCCACCACTCCTCATTTTGAAAGTGGGATTATAAAATATTCTGTTAATACCAAGTCTCATCTAAACCCTGTAAAGCACCCCTCCCCTCAGTTCCATCTGTAAACACATTTGAATGTCCGTGAGGTCATGATAAAGCAATTTGCAAAATAAATCAACTTGGCCACACAAACAACTAAGGGGGGTATTGTGCCTCTGAATTTAAAACCTTTGAAACAAATTAAATGATGGGGGTAATGCCCACTGAACCTACATTTTGTATAATAAAAAAGAGGAAATAAGAAAATACATGGAGTTTGTTCATTTGTGGAAAATACACACACACAGAGGACAGAGGGACATCAATGAGTTTGAACACTCAAGAACCAGATAGAAGAAATGGGATAGGGAGACTTTTTGAATAAACTTTTTGAGTAGTCCTCAACTCTACATTCATGTTTTCACATATTCAAACAAATATATTTTTCAAATGAATACAAGCAAACCCAAATGAATCTGTGTTTCAAATGAGTAACATAAACACATGGAAGCAGAGAACTAGCCCAAATAGATTTTGGCTGTTCTTAAACACAAAAAGTAACTTTAAACAGTCAAACATTACAATATGTAAATAAATTTTATTCTTTTCACCCTATTTTATGTCCTGTGCTTCCTCCAGAGAACATAAAAATTAACAAATTGTGCATTGCATTTCTTTCTGATGAAGAATCTTTCAAAATCTCTTTTAGCAAGGGATCTTTACTCATATTGATACAAGGAGAAAAACTGATCCTGGGTGGGTGACCGCCAAACCATATAAGGAACCTCCAAATGACATAGAGAAAAATGATCTCTGGACCTGACCTGCACGAGTTCGTGTTCTCTAAAAACGAAGAATGAATTTTAGGAACAAACGGAGGTTATGAGCAGAATATATTTATTGAGAGAAAGAAAGCTCCTGTCCCCAGAGAGGGATGGGAGGGGGGCCCGAGCATGTAGTTCCTCAGGAAGCTGTCTCTTCCAGGGACTTTTATAGTGCAAAACCATGTGGGGCTAAGGTGGAGAGAATGGGAACTCGCTTAGGTGGATGTGGGGTGGGACAAAACTATGGTCAACCAATGGGATTACAAGCACCATTGCTCAGGTAAAACTGATTAAATCCAGTATCAAATGGGAAAAGGAGTCACGTAGCGGGCATGAATATGGGACAGGGTCTTTTCCTCTTGGGGGTTGGAATGTGGGACAGGGTCTCTTTCCATTGGGGTTTGGGCTAGTGACTCACTTGGGTCTTTCCAGGTGATCAATACCTATTTAGAATATCAATCCCAGGTGCTAATCTTTTAGCATTTGTTTGGCCTTTAGGTCTTTAGGTCTGGTTCACAGCAGGAGCATCCGCCCCTCCCACAGTTGTAAGGCATCTCATCTTCTGTGTTGTTTTCTTCGAGGGCCTGGCCCTGTCTGACTGCCTATAATATTTCTATCTAACTTGGCTGTCTGCAATAATATGTCTCAGTTACTCTTCTCTCGTTTCTGGGACAAATACCCAACACTCAAAATGAAGGAAGGAAAGGTTGATTTAGCTCACAGCCACTGGAGGTTTCAGTCCACACTCAGCTGGCTCCAAGGCAGAGGGGCACACAGCAGAGAGCAGCCTTTCACGGTGGTGGCAAAGAGCAAGAGCAAGGGAGGGGTAGCAGCAGCTCAAGCAGCTAGCTTCTCTTCCCTCCTTACATTGTAATGCAAATTACCTGCCCCAGGGCAGGTGCAGTATCCACACCCACAGTAATCAATCACAAACTCCAGAAGCCGCCCCAAGACTGCTTGAGGCTTTGGGGGACAACTATACACAAACCATGAAATCAAGTATACACAGTTTTCAAAGCTAATATGATTAGATGCTGAGGATTTGCACATTTCACTGGTGTACTTCAATAAAAAGAATGCTGCTCATTGCTACCTCACACTAGTTTATAAGTAGCTGCTGCAGTGTGGGAGATTGAGGAGGACCTAAACTAGACCTAACTAAATCAAGTCAAGTAGCGTAAACTTTCATGCTCTGCATATCTAGTATTAACTTTATTCTACCTTCGCTTCCAATGCTAGTTTGCCTGCTCCTACCATTTCTGTGTGACGGATGCTTTGTGTCTCTGGCATCTTTTGCCAGTTGGTAGGAATCTGCTATTGTTGTTCTCTTTCAGGTGAGCTGTCCTTTGTGCTTGATGGGCTTTGAGGGATTGTTTGTATCTTTGATGCTTCTCAGACCCATTACTCTGGTCTAGATGTGGATTTCCTTTGTATTATCTTGCATGGTACACAGAATGTACCTTTTATCTGAGAATTTAGCCATTTCTTTTCTCTTTGGAGAGAAGCTATTCCACATTATTGTTTTATCACCTAGGATATTTCCTCTAGTCCCTTGTTGGGTTGGGGCTTCCAGTGAAGTTTCTTGTTCTCTCCTTCATGTCTTGTAACTGACCTTTCCTTTCCTTTCCTTTCCTTTCCTTTCCTTTCCTTTCCTTTCCTTTCCTTTCCTTTCTTTGTCCTTTTCCTTTCCTTTCTTGTTCTCCTTTTATTTATTTTTCAGCTTTTTCAGCACTAGGGATAGAGCCCAGGGCCATCACATTCAGCTGCATGCTGTTGTAACTAAAAAATGAGGCAGGCTCAAAAGTTTAAAAAGTGCTTTATTTTAGCTGGTACCCAGCGGCAACACCTGGCACAAAGTGCCTAAGTGCGCCCCGAAGAAGGGGAGCGTGGGGTTTATAAAGCTTAAAACCACAAAGCAGGCGGGGAGGAACAACTCAGGAAGTTCAAAAAGTCATGGCATCTGTTGAGACTAAATATGGTTATAGGTCTGGGGAGGGCTTGGGAAACAGAAGTCACATTGGAACTCAAGGGTGGAATGGGGGGCTTGAGGAAATAGGTGTTCTGTGAGACAAGCACACATTGGAACTCAAGGGTGGAATGGGGGGCTTGAGGAAACAGGTGTTCTGTGAGACAAGCACACATTGGAACTCAAGGGTGGAATGAGGGGCTTGGGAAGTAGGAAGTCACATTTTACAGCAGCTGACATGGTTCACTAAGACGGCACATACAGAACAGGATGGCAGCGCTTTGGTCAGGTTATAACACATGCCAGCCCTTTTTATTTATATACTCACTGTACATTGAGACAGGGTCTTGCTAAATGATGAGGTTCCCCCAGACTGTGCTCCAACTTTCCATCTTCTTACATCAGCCTCCAACAGTGCTGAGATTACAGGTGTGCACAACCATGCCCAGTTTATCCAGCTTAATGTTCAGTCTTTTTTTTTTTTTTTTTTTTTTTTGTGGAACCGGGCATTGAACTCAGGCCCTTGCGCTTGCCAGGGAAGAGCTTATTCCACTGAGCCATCTCCCCAGCCCAGTGTTCAGTCTTTTATGGACAAAATTCTTCCTTATTTCTCTGCCTCTGTCTCTGTCTTTCTCCCTAGTTCTGAGGGTTGGACTCAGGGCCCCATGCAAACTAAACAAGTGCTCTACCACAGTTATGTCCTCAGACCCTCTTTCAGATCCTTTGATGAGAATCCCGAGAATACTTAAAAGTATGAGTCAGACTGCCCTATACAGTTAATAGTTTGAAATGCATTCATGTTCTGAGTGTTGCTTTTGTTACTTGTCTTGCATGGCATTTGATCTCTTCTCTCATTTGGAACACTGGTTTGCAGTTCCCTTGTGAGGAGAATATCTTTTGGGTAAAGAATCTTGAATTTTCTGTCAGCATCCAAACAGTGGTAAG